ATAAGCATTCAATACCATTACAATTTTCTTTGATTTAATTTTAAATAAATATTTAGAGTGCCCAGGTAGCACATAAACAATGCAATTTAACGGTTTTCTTAAAGTAGGAACGTTTAACCTGTGCGGCCAGAGCGCTCTCCTTCCTTCTGCTCTGCGTAAACCTGAACTGGTCACCTAATTGTGCGTAATCAAATGTCTATAGGGGAAAATATGGAAACGATATAGCCATGAGGTTCACTTTTGCCTCAGACCGACTTATTGCTGTTTTATGGTGTGGCTGAATCTGCGATCCGCTGCCACGCGGACTGGAATAACAAATTGACCTTGACCTTGACAATTTGACCTTGACTTAAAAATGTTGTTATAAAACCTCTTAAAAGTTTTTATCACAGAGGAGGCAGCGCTCATTTCTTTCTTCAGTCTGACGGTGCGCCGGAGTTTGCGCAGCGTGCACGCTTATTGAATCTGTGTGTGTGTGTGTGTGTATGTGTGTGCGCGCGCGGCACAGCTCCATGAGCCGCTCCAGTCACCGTGTCTCGTTTTTGGCGCTATTTAAACCAATGTTGTAAAATGACTTCTGCCCAGCCCAGATGTGCTCACGTGTGCACCCGTGAGCCGTGGTTCCGCTGGAACGCGTCTGACCTCTGACAGACACACTCTGAACTTCAGATCTTCAACGCGCTTTTAATAGCCTGAATGGGAATCATTTTTTGATTTATTTTGCTACATCCACAATGTTCTGTGTGTGAGGTTTACAATGTCAGAACGCCTGCATGAGACAGGTGTTAATTACAATCTGCCAGAATGACTCACCACCTTCAGATTCCTCCAACACCGTTAAAAATGATCAAATACGGAACATATCGGCGTGCGCAGGCCAGAGTGCTGAAGCTCGGCGCATTGTTATTATGAAGCTAGGGCACATGTGGAGGACACACGCGCAAAAATATACTTGTTTTCAATTACATTTATTGAGCCCACTTACTTTTTCTTAGGCCCACCCACAAATGAGTTTCTGGCTACGCTAATGGTGACATATGACAGACTTCTCTGAGCTCCGCAGCCATTACACTTTTCACCTCGCGCACCCCCTAGCGGCAGCTCGCGCACCCCCGGGGCTGTGCGCACCACACTTTGGGGATCCCTGAGTTAGACAGTATGAATGGATATGATCACTAACTGTGTCTACAGTCATAGTTATATCCTTGAATGAGCATAGTTTTTTAAATATGTATATATATATATATATATATATATATATATATATATATATATATATATATATACACACATATATTTATATATAGAACAAGTATGGACGTGGAAGTCTATTGCCCCAACCGTAAGGCTAATTCCTATGGCACAGAAAATAATATAAAAAAAAGAAACCTGGCAAAGGGCTGGGACCAATGGTGGATTAATTACCATAACTGTGGATCCATTTTTATTCATAGTGAAGGGATTTACCTGATATTCGTTTGGCCAGAAGGTGGAAACAGCAAGTTCGGCTTTTAGCCACTCTTTACCTGCAGAAAAAACCATTATGGTCAACATGAGGAAAGGAAAGAAGATCAAAAATGGTAAAAGAAGTTGGAATAAACGAAGATGAGCAAATAACTGTGTCTGAGTTTACCCGTGTGGGTCGTCACGTTCCATATGGGGTGTGCCAGTGGACCCTTGTTCACCTATGTGGGGAAGGGGGGATTGAAATGAAGCAGTTACAATAAAATCTGAACATGAAAATCTTGTAAATGTTTCCCTTTGAATTAAAATACCACATCAAAATAGAAAGATGTGTTAACATCCTCTAATCTAAGCAGACTAACCATTTTAAAAGATGCACATGTACTTATTCTGATTCATCTATCAATATATGATGACGACATTTTGGACACAAAACTCCACTATTACCATCAGCCTGATTGCTCTTATTTTAAAATTTTGTTCAAGACTATTTTTCCAACACATCTGCAGTGGTCTGTGGTATAAATGAATGCCTTGTGAGTCGATCTCTGGTGATCCTGTTTCAGGAACTAGAAGTCAGTCAGAGGAGAGATGAACAGAAGACGACAGGATTTAGAGTCTGGACATCTCTCCTCTGATTGGCTAACAGCAACACGACTCTACCACCGATTCTGTTTGCTCTGCAACGTTGATGTTTTATCCCCACAAATAGCGCAAGCCTGGAGGAGTTGTGCTGTGTGGTGGACCTGCTAACACTAATGTTAGCTTCTACTAGCCGAGACGTTCTCCGCTGTTTTCTGGATGCTAAACCAACAACAGCCTTCCCCGTCGTGAGCCAAGATGGGTGAGTCCATGATTGCTAATTTTCAACGTGACGTAGATCTGTCAGGCTTTTCTAATGGAAGCATTTCCTGATCTGCATTCCATTGGCGGCTAATGCAGGAAATGTGGGTGGAAGACTATTTTTATTCAAAAATAATAAAAAACGGGTCCTGAGTGAACTTGATCTTCATATATAATGGAAGAGAGGGAATTTTCAACACTCTGTGGTGTGTTAACTGCTGTACTTGTGGTCGTGTTTCACAAAACAAGAGATCATGTTTCCATATATCCGGTTCTGGTTTCAACTGACACTTTGATTTTTTGCCCACTACAACAAACAAACTGACTCTTCCAAATGAATGCATTACTGGTTATAAAACGTAGCCTTCAGGCTAAGGTTTACATTTGGTCTTGATTTTCTATTTGTTATAAAATCACATTCAGCTGGTCGAAACCCCGGGCTGTCTGTGGTTGAAAATAGGCCAGATCTGAAGGCACGAATCCTCAAAGTGTTGCAACAAACAAAGCACTCCATTTTTCATCCACGTTTCGGGTTTGGTGATCATCACCTTCACCAGGACGTTGAGGGTGCCTGGGCTGGAGCCGTCGGGGCTGCTGAGGAGATAGTTGAAGTCGATACAGTGAGTGTCGTTCTCCTTCATGACCGGCAGCTGAAAGCGGGTCCTCTCTCCAACGTCGTACTGGGAGACGTCCACAAACATGTAGGAACCTGAGAGCAGAGGCAAACAAAAGAAATAATCCTAAAAAAGTTCATGTGGATTTGTGACTCTAAATGAAGAATTGGCCTAGCTGTTTATGCTCATGCACCAAAAGCAGAGCTGGAGCCCTCTGAGGAGGTAGTTAGTGTGTAGACACAGTCAGAATAATGACTATTCTTGCCAAGAGTGGGCTGTTTGCCCACAGCTTGTGTTACATGTACCTACATGATCTACCGCTTTCTCTTCGTTTGTTCCACAGAAAACATTTTATCAAACTATACATCACCTAGATAAAGAAATCTAAAAAGAACATTCTTTCCTTTCATGCCTGCATTCCCTTCCATTTATCTTGTATAAATATTGGTCTCATCCAGAAACACAAAGGACAGATGTGCTGAAACTTGGGTTGGCTGTGACCGTTCTTTCTTCTCAAGTTGGTTGGTTTGGTTATTTGTTCCCAAAAAACCAGGAGCATTAAGAATAAATGCACCTCACTGATTATTGGTAGCTGTTCAGAGCGTTGCAGTACACTTTACCTCCAACGGCTGGCTCTGGAAAACGGAGCACAGAAATTATACCTAATCTGGGTGTACAGAGCGTCTGCCCATCCAGATGTTCTAGTAATCAGCTGAGACCTCAACCAGATGCTGCTGCTCTAAAAAATAAGAAAGGCCAACCTTTTCTGCTGAAGTTTGTTTTTTAATCCCATAATTTCACATTAGCTGGAGCATGAAAACACTAGACCTGTGATTTCCAACCATTTCAGATTTGTCCCACAAGATAACAAAAGCAGAGTATTGCTACTCTGTCTATTAGTAGTTGAAGCACATCATCATTCCCACTAAAACTAAACACTTTTATAAATTATTTCTACCCGACTCATTTGTACACATTACAACATTAGAATGTGTAAAAAAACATGTAAATAATTAGTGAAGATTAAAGCAAAACCTCACTTTATGTTTCATGACCTAATCGTTCCTGACCCATATTGAACCAGAACAATGATTCCCTCACAATAGAGGCCAACAACTCTGATGACTCATCAGGAGGCAGGGAGGAGGGGTATTCATAGGTAGTTTCTGCTGGTTAAAAAGCAATAGACACCTACAGCTTATAAGCTTGACTCTCCCATATTCCAGTTAGAATTGACAAAGCTCTTCAAGAAACCAAAGACGTCCAGTTGCCTTCATCTGAACCCTTTTGGATTACCATGATCTGGATGAGCCTTCACCAGCATATAATCCTGACCCATCTTTGGAGACCACTGCACCAAACGAGCAACTCTAGGCCCCGATGCCAAATTAGAGTTATTCTCCTGCTTCAAGACATCAAACTGGCCTGCATTAGATATAGAGCCTTCGAGTCCTTGAACACCCCAAGGTGCTGTCATTCAATATCTGAGGCTTTTGAGGGATTTAGTGATCAAACATTTTACATTTTTAAAGCCACCAAGATATTAGCTGACTTTTCACAAGCATAAATAAACTGGTAGTTTTTACACAGAAAAGCAAAAAAGGAACACAAAAGGACATAATTAACTTTACTACAATTAAAGTGTAATTAAATTGCACACAAAAAGAGAAATGCTATAACAAAATACCCAAACGGTAACAAAAACAGTTGTATTATAGTTGCATTGTGCACCTTATTGAATACGTCCTGCACAAAAGGCTGTGGGACAGTGGTGATTATCGTTATTGTTTAATCTACTGAGAGAAAATACTCCCTTTTAGAAAAAAGCGGAACACTATAGCCTTTTTAACACAAACGCACAGTTATAGACACACACACACACCTCACCGTCATCATTACCGCCACACTTCTGCCTATTTCTGCACAAACAAAAGCAGACACTCTTCTACCGCTGCCATTATTAGAACAGCCCAAACTTCCTGGCTGAGAATGTGACCAACAACACGCGTGATCTGCCTCCGCCCTAAAATGAGCACGTGATGGATGTCACTCTTATTTCTTCATATTTGGCACCGATACTAAAATGGTGACATGAGAAAAGTGCCATTAAGATGGCTGCCAAGATGATGTGCCAGCTAAAAATACTTCTATCAGTTAGAGACCCAGATATGTCACAACACACACAACACTGCAAACATTACCTCTGGCACTCCAGCAAGCCATTACTCTGCCTTGTATCAAAAATAAACCAGGAAATAGATTAACTGGAAGACAGGTTCAACAACAACTAATTTACTCCTAAAATATTTTTCAGAAAATGATTCAAATGTTTAACTGGCACAAAATGAGCCTATAGAGTCAGAACAATGTCAACCTGACACGCAATAAATGAGTGACAGCACATGAAACTAATACAGGATCCATGCCATGCGAGCATCCTTCATGATGCCAAAAACATCCAATACCTTCAGGCTGCTAAGTTCCAAAATGGCTGATGTCTTTGATCTGCCGAAGTCTAAAATGGCTGCTAATAGAATGATGACACAATATACCGATGAGGCTAAAAATACTGCAGAGACAGTCTTAAGACCCAAATGTGTCACACGGAGACAACAGCAGTGTGGTGGGCAGAGGGCCGTACTCTATGGCTAAACAATTACAGGTGGCAGGTGGGAAAAAAGCTGACAGAGATGTTTTATTTTTAGGATCTTGAGGTGACAATCATTTAAACATAGAATGCAAAAAAAGAACCACAACCTAATAGATAATTTCTGATTCCTTTTAAACCCTATAAAGATGTTGATCTCTTCCTTGTTAAAAAGTACGGCTGAATTAGAATCCAAATGCAAAAACGTCGCCGTAACTCATCAGTCTAAACAAAAAGGCCAACAGAATGTCGTTCTATAGCAGCCACAGATTACAACAACGATGTCATAAAGAACAACAATAAAACAAGAGACTATACATGCAGTATACAAAGTTCCTGAGGAGATATCCAAGAGCGAACTGTCCTCTCTGGCATCCTTTTGGAAGTCTCTTCAAACCTGGAAGTTCAGATGGACCTGCTTCTGAAATTGTACAGCCATTTTACTTTTACTTATTTTGTATCGTCTTACTGTTTAAGATCTCCCTGGCTGCAGTTGGTCACCTCCAGCTGGTGCAGAATGCTGCTGCATGGTTTCTGACGGGGACTTAAAGGTCCATATCTCACCATTCTTGGCTTCCCTCCACTGGTTGCCGGTGCATTTTAATTTAAAAATTATCTTAATAGTTTTTTAATAGCTTAGTGGCTCTGCACCTAATCACCTTTAGACCTTTTAAAACTTTACACACCTACCCACTTTCATTCTTTGACTTTTAATGTAGTATGATGTGGTTTGTATGTATTTTGTATACAATTTAACTGGTTTTACTGTGTGGTTTTAATAGACAGAACTTATTTTTAACTTTGATGTAACCTGAAGGTGCTTCATGAATAAAATGGTGTGGTATGGTATGTTACGGCATGATACGATTTTTTACGGTGTGGTGTGGTATGGTACAATAATGTACGGTATAGTATGATGCAGTATAGTCATATGGTATGGTACGGTAAAATACTTTACAGTATGGTATGGTACGAAACGGTACAGTATGGTGTAGTGTGGTATGGTAGGATAAGGTACAGTATAGTATGGTATGATACGGTACAGTATAGTGTAGTGTGGTATGGTACAATAATGTACAGTATGGTATGATGCAGTATAGTCGTATGATATGGTATGGTATGGTAAAATACTTTACATTATGGTACGTTATGGTACGATACGGTACAGTATGGTGTGGTATGGTACAATATCGTACAGTAAGGTATACTATAGTATGGTACAATACAGAATAGTAGTATGGAATGGTATGTTATGGTGCGATACGGTACAGTATGGTGTAGAGTGGTATGGTACGATAAGGTATAGTACGGTATGGAATGGTACGATACGGTACAGTATGGTGTAGTGTGGTATGGTACGATAAGGTACAGGTATGGTGTTAGGTGGTACGATACAGTATAGTAGTACATTACGGTGTAGTGTGGTATGATAAGGTACATTATGGTGTAGTGTGGTACGATAAGGTACATTATGGTGTTATGTGGGACGATAACGTACAGTATGGTGCTACGTGGTATGATACAGTATAGTAGTACAGTATGGTGTAGTGTGGTACGATACGGTATAGTAGTACAGTTTGGTGTAGTGTGGTATGGTACGATATGGTACAGTTTGGCGTAGCGTGGTGTGGTACGATACAGAATAGTGGTACAGCTTGGTGTAGTGTGGTACAATACGGTTTAGTAGTACAGTATGGTGTAGTGTGGTATGATAAGGTACATTATGGTGTTATGTGGTACGATAACGTACAGTATGGCGCTATGTGGTATGATACAGTATAGTAGTACAGTATGGTGTAGTGTGGTACGATACGGTATAGTAGTACAGTTTGGTGTAGTGTGGTATGGTACGATATGGTACAGTTTGGCGTAGCGTGGTGTGGTACGATACAGAATAGTGGTACAGCATGGTGTAGTGTGGTACAATACGGTATAGTAGTACAGTATGGTGTAGTGTGGTATGATAAGGTACATTATGGTGTTATGTGGTACGACTAAAGGTACAGTATGGTATTATGTGGTATGATAAGGTATAGTATGGTGTAGTTGTGTGGTAAGATAAGGTACATTATGGTGTTATGTGATACAATAAGGTACAGTATGGTGGGGTGTGTGGTATGGTATGGTATTCTTTGGTATTGAGAATAGAGGGACAAACAATGACGCATGTGGAAACATAAAAAAAATCTAATCAAACTTAAATAAAATATAACAATAAACAGGGAAAACAGGGTATAACAAAAGGAATAGACTTTTTTGTTTACAATTCTAACAATGTTATAAAGTGACGAAAATCTAAACTAGTTTGACACAAAAGTCTCAGTGCATCACAATTCTTTCTTACTTTGGTGCCACTTTAACAGAAAACATTCAAATGAAGCTTGTGATTCAGGTTTTGCTAGGATACTGTAATAGAGCTAGGCTTTAATGTTATTTTTAAGCCTTTGCTGATGCATCTATTATTATTCAATCATTATTAAAACATTCACTGGCTCCACAGTTTGTGTCTTTTCTCTGCTCTCCTATTAGAGAGAAAGCAGTTCAAAATGAGGGGGGAGCATGGGGGAATGGCATGCCAAATAGGTTTAGAGTATTACTGGCAGACAACATTATGAGTCAAGAGTATCTGCTTTAGTCCACTGAGCCCCGGCCCATAAATGTTCAACTAGCGCGATGCTCACTGCCAGCGCAGCGTCCCAGCCCTGCCACGGTGGACGGTGCCAACATCCACCCCCCAGTGAGAGTTCAGAGATGAATTTTATGTCTATTACAAAAACTGCCAAAGCATTCACACACACTCGACATCGCCTGAAGTACAAACGGTGATTAGGACAATTGAATGTGGGTTACAAAGAACAGAAGATTAATTGTTGAGTAGTCTGAGAAAAATCCGAGTAAAGCGCCGAGCAGATAAATCCTTTTCTTCTCGCATTACCTTTGGCAGCATCCCTGAACTAATCATCATAATAAAGTTTCTTCCAAAGGTCTTTTAGACGCCAGAAACTGTGAACAAATCCTCCATAATAATAGAAGTTAAAATCCCTTTGTTTTCAAAAAGGCTTGGTGCAGCTGTTCTAAATTACACCGTAGCCTCTAGGAAACCACAGCAAACAGTTCAAACATAAACATTACCAATGTGTCCATGGGCAAGGCCTCTTATCCCAATCCCTCACTCATTTCCTCCAACTCCTCCAGCATAGAGAACCCAGCTAAGCGCTGCTGAGATTATTAACACATCAAATGTCAGTTCATGATCTCCTACCTTTAGGCAAGACTCTGAACCTACCCTTCAGAAACCAGCATCTCCAAACCATTAACCTGCTCTTCCATCCCTGAACCCTGCTCATCCCACTCGCCTTTATAAATCATACTTCTATGTTAATCCAAGTTATACCTTTGGTCCCCTGGGCAAAGAGCTCAACCTTGTCGAAGTGGACACTCTGGCCTTGCTGCGCAGTGACACCTCTTGGTATTTATAGCAAGACTTTGGATTAGTACCACTGCACACTTAAATAGATGCATGTCCACACGTGCTGGTCTACAAAACAAGATGCTCTCTAAATGTCAGCAAAGGTGGGCTGTCACGATGAGGAGTGGAAGAGATAAAGAACAACGTCTCATTGTCATGGTAACATCATCATAATCTGCCATAACAGAGAAGAAGAGGAGGTGAACGCTGGCAACGAGAGTAGATAAGTGGAAAGAGAAGTTCTTTGATGGAAAGAAGCAAAGGAAACAAAGTCCAACCTGCATTTTATGTTTTTAGTCATAAGCAGGTTATTATTTGAACATTTCACAGCCAGTTACTACAACATTTTCCTTTTAACACTGTAAAGTGGGCAACCTTGGCTGTTGGCTGCCGTTGATTAATGACCTCATATTCTGTTAATTAGACACTCAGCCCTAAGGCAGAAAGATTTAATTTCCCCTTCATCATCATCACCAAGTAAAAAAAAAACAACTGATTAAAGAGGGGGTTAGAGGAGAGCCGAAGAGAGGAAAGTCATTGGAAGTATGGGAAGAAATACCCAAAACTTCGTACTAATATGAAAATACTAATACGAGGTAAAATAATCCAATTCAAGTTCTATTGCACCGTCAGTCGCCTTCAAGGGATCAAGCACTGGCCTCAAAGTTGAGAAATGGTTGATGAGTTTATAATCACAATAAAAAATGAATTCCTTCTCCGTCACAAAGCCCCAAAGACACCAAACGTAAGTCCAGAAGACCTTTAGCACACATGCACTGAGTTGTTTTTCTTGTATTGAGGTGAAAATTGGTGAGCAGGAAGGAGGAAGTTGAGCCTCACCTTGTGGCAGGTCTGGTGAGACATATGGCACTTCTTGGGTGTTGATGTGCGTCCAGTCAAAGTCGTCATATGGATCTTGTTGGTAATCACACTGAGAAAAGCCCTCATCAAAAGTGCAGCTCCCTGCAAAAAAAGAGAAACATTTGATTTAGTTGATGCTACAGAAACAAATATGTGGCTCAAAGACTCAAAAACATTAATTTTAACACAAAATCTTTTCTTCCAGAGGACATTTCCTGTTTGCTTTATTTCTGTGAGTGTGTGTTTGTCTGAGCTCATTAAAGAGCCCACCAGGAGTCTGAGCTCCAACAGTCATCACTCAAGGCCAGCCAGGATCACCTCTGACTCAACCAACAGAGCCTGGAGCTGATCATCTGAGCCCATCACCACAGCTTCAGGACAAACATGTGCGAGATGGCCACCTCTGGCTCCACCTAAAGAGGAAGTCCGCCCTAATGCAGAGAGACGCCGCTTGTCCCTGACAACCCGCTGAACTGATGACACTGGTGATACGGCTGCTAGGAACAGCACTGTGGTTACTATGAGCGATCTGATTCATTGACCCAGTAGTGATGCACAGCTTGTGTTAATACAATGTCTGGGAGAAACGTGGCTAAGAAAAGCCATAATACTGTCTGATTGAAGTCCCCGCTAGGTAATGAAGGAGCGGTGTCCTTTTTGCCTCCTCCCAGTCATTCCATTCAGCCACTGTGTTGACTCCAACCAAGTGAAACATCCAACATTTATCCACTGCAGACTCTCAGTTCAAAACAAATAGAGCTAAAACCAAAGCTAAAACCCAACATGAAGCTTTTTGAGTTTCCTGTTGAGCTTCTCCTTGAGAACCAAATGTAGACTCCTCTCCACAAGGCTATTCAGCCTGAGAATATGGCTGATCCAGTGAAGGAAACCTGGAGTTTGACTGCCGTAAAAAGCAAAAAAAATAAATAAATAAAAATAGGGAGGGGGCCTCATCCGAATGGACAGATCACTGGCAGTCACTAGGTGGAACTATAAGGCACACAAAAGGTGTAAAGTTGTATTTTCTTATAGAACCACTGCTAGATTTACACAGTACTAATAAAATCTAAACTATCACACATCAAGTCTTTAAAGGTGCAGTATGTAAGAATGAAGACTGACATCCTGTGGTGAAATGCGGTTACTGCGGCCCATTTTTCTAAGCAAAAGTTACTCTCACTTTTCATGGCTGTTGCTGGTTAGGGATGAGCGCCAGAAGATTATAGATGACAAGCAAAGATGAATCATACACACATGATCATATCTGGTACTAGCACTCTTAGGTGTCTTAAGGTAGGGAGCACTTAGTACACGTATTAACATAGTTTGCATCCAGCATTACAGGAAGTGTAGTTGTTTGCTGTTATAGTTCTGAACGACTCAGTAAAGGAATTATAACTCCACAATTGACTCATTACTCACTTCACACACACACATTTCACTGTGATGTCTAGTTGTTGGTAACTTAAAAGGTAGTTTGAGATACTTTCAGAGCCAACTATTTGATTCTAATAAACCTTTAGCATTGTTAGCTCAATGTTAGCCTCTAGGACGCTTCACCCAATCTCAGAGTAAAAAAAAAAAGATGCCGTGGCTTCCTAGGAGTACAAGAAATTACTTCTGGGTTGCTCATGTTTGCTGGCTTCAGTTCTTTAAACAACTCTGGAGCTTTTTGCCTGCCAGTGTGGAATTACAAATGCGTTAGCTCGGCCCAGACCCAACAACCTCACGGGCTTACAGATCAAAAACAAATATACGTCCCTCTACGGTTATAATGAAAGGAGAAAAGCTGACCACCCCTCTGCCGGCTGAGAAGGAAATCTGTTTCGATGTTACCTTCATTCCAACATTAAACTGTTTTGTGATTATTTCGCTGTAGAATTCTTACATATTGCTCCTTTAGGATCAAAAGTCAAAGAACTCTGAGAACATTTAACTTATTTCTGAATACTTGGAGAGATCAAAGAGGAAAAAAAGTGAGTTTTAGAGTCACAGAAAAACTACAAAGAAAAGCTGAGAGAAGAAGCCACCTTCAAGCATTATCGCCAAGCAGCACCAACATAAATCTGTTTGCATCCCGTTAGCGGTTGCAGTTCTACTACCTGTGACCTAGAGCGGGCTGCGGCGGCTCTGATGGAGAGCAGAATGACAGATACCCCGCTGATCTCAGCTCCAGCTACAGAGGCATAGCAAGAGGTGACAGACGCCGCCAGAGGAGAAACAAGTTAATATCAAACTAAGCAACTGTCTTTGGCTGCCGGCTGCATGGCTGGCTTTGACTCACTTCCTCAGAGGGACACTGGATCACATTCCTTTCAGCGTCAGTCAGCCTCTTCTTGTGCGATTCTGTTAACTCTAATTCAGTTCAATTAAGTCCTTTGTCACAGCTAATCCCCTGTAACCATGCTAGAGGACGTGCAGGGGCAGTTCAGTGTAAGCATGATTGTTTTTTCAACACAAACTTCTTCTCATACCAACTCATGCTGATGTGAAAATGCTGTGATTTGTCTCTGTTTATGTTTGTGGGAGCATCCATGACCACTTGTCTCCTACAGGGTGTGTCACTTTACATCTTGCTGTCAGGTGGTTCTCTCTGCATGGTTTAAAAGAGCAAAGTGTGCATCACTTGTGTTTATGGAAGTGCACGTTGGTGCACGTCTAAACCAGAACACACAACTTAAGGAAAATGCTGTTGGACAGCTGACGTTTTATTTACCTTCCAACACTTTTGATCTGGGATGTGCACGAGCATGTTGAAGGAAGACAGCGGTTCTGTTTCTGGTGGTTTATTATCCGAGGGGAACCCGTTGTATCTTAGTTTTAGTTGCATGGAGGCAAACCGTTTGCCAGGAGCAGAAACTAAAGGACACAAGTTTTTATACAACCAAACCAAATGGCTTCTACAGCCGAGATTTAGAACGCAGACACCAGTTTAAATCAGAAAACGAACCACGTCAATCAGACTTCTGATATTTTTCTTTCCTAAAAGTGACTTAGAAGTTCAATCAGAGTTATGTGTTTTTAGTGCAAACACTCTGGGCTTGTTTTGCAATTCCTGATGAGATTAGCATCATATCATCAGCTGCAGTGTGCTCTGCCTTCTTTTATCCCTTACCTCACCTACATACCTCACACTGCTGAGCGTTACGGCTCTTTTCCTGCCTCTGTAGGTCGCGTAAGGTGTACTGGACTCAAACAGAGCATGCTTTAAACACAAACTTCCACTCAGCTCCATCTGGAGTGTTTTGCTTTGGCTCAGCAAAGAAGAAAAACATGTCCTTGTTTAAATTTTCACTTTACTGCTTTAAGAGAAGATTTTTCAATCACAGAACATTCCTCAGCTTGCATTTGCAAACGTCTGAATGACTTTACACACACACACACACACACACACCTCCTCTTAACACCACTCCCTTACTGCCAACTTGTGTCAACACACACATTATCAGACACATGCATCTTACAGTAAATCCATGTTGCCAGTAATGAGTTGAACAGAACTTGAACTCTTTTTCCTCTGCAGAAAAAACGCTAAGCATTCATTTCCTAAATATCGTACGGATTCAACAACAACCTTCTTGTCTGTATTTTCCAGCTTCCTGTTAAACATCTTCTACTGGCAATAAAAGCTAAAAGTAGAGTTATTCCTGTTGTCTTTAATAGTGACTGTTAGGGGTGTGTTTTGGGGTCAATCGCAGCTAAAGTTTTACAAAATCACTACAAAGCTTTAAAGCACTTCTAAAGAAACGATCAGGATTTAAAAGGTTGCTTGTGGAAAACCTTAAAGTTGCTAAAAGTGGTGAAATAATTGCAAATAAGGCAACACAAAGAGGAAGAAAGGCTGTGTTTTTAGTGCTGTCAGTGAGAAGCATTTGGGATGTAAATAGTTGCTGATTTTAGGACCGTTCATGTTTCAGAATCAAATTCATACAAAAGGTTTATTTTCCTTATAGTAAAACGTCAAAGACCCGTTCGTTCTGTCACGTCTAATTTATTAACTCAGCAGTAAAACAGCAGCCCATGTCTGCATTAATATATATTTATGCTTTTACGTTTCAAGAATTTTGCTGAGCTGCACAGGAAAAGGGAGTAACATCACATATGAAAGTCAGTGTGTTTACATAAGCATCAGAAATCGAACCGTCACCCTAAACAAGACGGACGCCGGTTGTTTTGAATGCATGTAAACGCGTTAGTCTGGCTGAAGGCAAACTGGTTCTAATCGAGCTGAAGCAACCAGATAACGCAGTAGGAAAGCGACTGCACCTGCATGTGAATGGATCAGCCGAGCTGATACTGGAAGACCGTGGAAGCAGACTTCTGATGACATCATCACCACAAAGTAACACGTCTGGGACGTACCAAACCAGCTGTGCTGCAGCGATGTTGTCGTTCATTCCTTCGGCTATTGTGAATATCCTGTTTTAACGTCGTCAGCCTCACCCCGCCAGTGTTTCTTTACCATATGTGTTGCTACAAGCTAACCGGAAGAACAGCGACACAAAAGGGCACATTGCCACCTACTGTACCGGAGTGGAACAAACGAAAATGTAAACAAGGATATCTCAGCTCATTACTTCAGATCGACTTATGCACAGGAGCAGGAGCTTTCTTATAATATTTGTGTTGAGCAGGTAAATTATTGAATATTATAATAGGTTCAAAACTCAAAACTTAAATCCAAACAAAGAATTATAAACATCAACCATAAATATAGACGTTACTGGGTGACAAGATCCGAATGGGTCTTTGGGTCCAACGGAAAAAGGTGCGTTTCACATTCAGAGCTAATTGTAAAAGATGTTACAGCTAATCTGTACAACAGTTTTCAAAGTACATGCATATTCATGAGTGTCCAGATGGGTCATTACTACTGCTACTGTTTCCCACACAAACACACACACACACACACACACACACACACACACACACACACACACACACATACACACACACAGAGAGAGTAAGCGAGGGAGAAAAAGGAACCGAATGCATGCTAATCACTCTAATCAGCTGCTCTGATTGGCTGCTTTGCTAATGAAATAATGGTGACTCATTTGCATAATAAAATAATTAGAAGGACTCGATAAAGGCTCAAGGGC